GAGTGAACTGAACCAAACAACATCAAATATAGTTAAACCCAGGCTTTGCAAACTGAAACCCTCAGAAAGTTTCGTTGAACCTGAAGGGTGTTTCCTCTACAGGGCTTTCTGTTTTGTCAGGCCATGTTTTCCTACGGGTTCCTTTACTCTGGGACTGGTGCTATAGTGACATGCCTAATTGTCTGTCCGAATCTTATTGGTTTTGGTTATCTAGGTTTCTGTGAGATTCCAAAATTAAGAACCATTTTTCAGACAGCGAGCACCAGTGCTCCTCTGGCCCATCCTCTTTGAAAATCAGATCTGAGAGTTATGATCTTTGCTTACTGAATATAATAATTTTATATTTATCGTGGGTATGTGCATATATGTGCATGCACACACATGCACGTGTGGGTATGCAAGATAAAGGGCAGGTTTTCCCTCATGCGCTGTTTAAAAAGTGCTGTTGCACAAGTCCCTGTTATCACGACCTTTGTCTGACTGTGGAATGTGGCTCCATTTAGACCAGCTGGAGAACTGGTTCCCAGAGTATTAGCTTGCAAGTGGGAAGTGGTAAGATTAATATTAACTACCAAATGGAAGGGACCGTTCCAGTCTTGTTCCAGTTTAGACTTGCAAGCAACACATCAAACTAGGACAGGAGGACCCAGGACTTCTGGATAAAACAGGTTTATGCTTTGGATTGCAAATGAAATAACCTGGACCCAAGTGGGGCACTCTGCAGGTAATTCTGCGCTTTCCTTGCTGGCATGGCGTAAAGCAATGGATTTATGGAGGATGCAGTTTCATTTCTTGAGCTGCAAAGGAAAGCTTGTCCTTTGTCTTGTGGCAGAGGTGTGTCATCAAACATAAACACCTCGCTTGTGCCCAGGCAAACAGATACTGACCAACCCAAGGCAGGCTTCCTCATTCAGAGCAGGGTGCTGAGTTAAGGTGTGAGTTCTCTTACACGAGCTTTTAAGTCTTTGAAATAGAGTCAGACTTCCAGGTGACTTCTCAGGAGAACACCAGTAGCACCCTGCTCTCTGTCTTTTCAGTGGCAGTCACCAGTGCTAGTGTTATCCTCTAGGCTTGTGTGAAACAAGAGGGACATCCAGCACGTTGTATGCAGTGTGTTTATTACTGTTTGGTTCACATTTTGCGACACAAGGTGGGTTGCAAGATCATGCTTGGCTCTCCTCGGTGAGTTGTGGACGCTGGTCACAGTCTGCACCTCCTTCACCCCACTTTAAGCGATTGCTCCTTGAGGAGATGTCTTCCCACCATCCCATCTTCCTGTTGTGTCTCCTTCCTGGAATGGCTGACCCACCCTTTGGTGGCTATTCTCTGTCACGGTAGGAAGCGGGTCAAGGAGAAAAGAGGGCAAGTAGAGACAGGATGGATTATGGGGAGTAAAGGGCAGATGGATACGGGACAACGAAGGAGCGTAACTTTGCCTTTGAGGTCCCATCAGCTGTATGATGGATGGCATTAGTACATTACAATTTCATGAGCCTGGATGCTCTGCGCTCCCGAGTACAGCTCTCAGGAGACGCTGCAGGGCAAGAAGCGAAGCCACAGCCGATGGGTCTGTGCATCTGTGTCTACCCAAAGGCTTTCAGTTGGCATAAAAAGGGAAATCTAGCCCATGCAGGACCCAGCATGGAAACGCAACAGGAGACTGTGCCATCCCATCTTGCAAAATGGAGGCCAGATATGAGAAAGTAGCAAGCTAACTGCGTAGAGCCAAATGAATAAAACATCCCTACCGCAAATCGTGCAGACAAAATTCTTTCATCAAATGTCCCTGTTCAGCCTGTGGCTGGTATTACAGTATGCTGATTGAGCACACTCAAGCTCACCTTTCCTCACACTCTGAACAGCCCCAGGACCTGTACTCCGATAGGAGACCACCTGGGAACCGAAGACACCTCCACCAGGAGCCAAGCAGCCGTGGTTGAACACTTGGTGAGTATCAGCCCACAGAAACACACTGAAGGGACTCATCAGATCCCATTGCAATTGCTGAGCTGAGACACCAGAAAAAAAATTAATATTACCTCAAAGAGGGCTTTTCAGATTAAGGTGTCTGAAAGAGCCTTAGAAAGAGTTTTCCTCCAGGACCTCCTTCTGTACTCAGAACTGCCAATGGGGGTTTTGTCTGAGCGTAGAGAAGGGTACAAGACATCTGAAAGATTCAGGATGGGTGGGATTTTTTTCAAACCAAGACAGTTATTTTGTAGATAGCAACAAAATATAGTAATTTAGGCTCTACCACCCTTCCGAAGAGAAGGTGGATATCTCAGTAGTCTTGATTACCCAGAACAGAATATGATTTCTGCCTGTTTCCTACCTTGTTCAGCTGTTTTTCTAAGAGTGGTTTTATATAAATGGCCATCCAGAAACCTATTCTTTCTTTCCTGGGCACTGCCACAGCACATTTTTAGGTAGGAGAGGTCAGCTGCTCTGAATAGCGCATTCCACAGGAACTGCCGTGAACAGAGCTCAACCATGCAATTTAACATCCCCCCTATGTCTTGTGTGTTTGACGTGGCTATAGAGTAATAACGAGTTTCTCTGTTACTCTACCAAGCACTGCACCAGATAAGCATGAATAGGCTTAGATAACGAAGGGGAAAAAAAGAAGGTAGGATTTCTGTTTCAAGCAAAGATCTTTGGAAATTAGGGCAACTGGAGTAAATGCACAACATTCTCTGTTGAAAATTAACATTACAGCTGAGAAGATATTTCAGATTGAAGGTTGTCAAAGACTTACAGACAATATTCACCCCTTCCTGCATTCCTTTTACTCTCTAAATGGTCAGTGGAAATGTATAATCATGCAGGATAAATTGTAATTAGGCCCTTTTCCAGGGTTGTATTATGTGGAAAGGGAGAACATGAAAAGAGGAGCTTTAACAGCTCTTAGGAGCACATATTCCCGTGTGACTGTGCAATGTCTATTTGCCTGAGAGGCCAACAGAAGCTGAAGAATATATATGAATAAACGAAGAGCTAGAGTAGAGAGATTTTGGATATGGGATGCCCATATTAACGTCTTTACTTCCTTGCATGGTTGGATGTTTCATACATAACAGAGCAGCTCCTAGAGCAGACATTGAAACCCATTAATTTGTTTTGGTGCAGTCACATAGAACAAATTTCAGAAGGCTGAAAATGTAAGCGAGCCCTGTGATGAACAAGGGACCTTGAGGAGGGCTGTTTTCTAGGGGTGGCTAAAGCAGAGCTTGGTTAGATAGGGCAAAGGCTTTCACTGAGACCCTGAGCTTTTCACTGCGACCGTTCATTGCACAGAGCTCTGGATCAAAAACTGAGGAAGGGGTTTTGGTCCAGTAGGATATGCCTGGCACAGAGCTGAACATCTGCCTCAAGAGGCAGAGCTTCACTTGGAAACAGCGGGGTCTTAACTTGGTGAAAGGCACGATTCCCTTCCAAGCACAAGGCAGATGCTTAAGCCGGTCACTTTCTCTACCAGGGACAAACGAGTGCCACATGGGCAGTGCTGGTGAAACAGATTCCAGAATGGATCCATCCCTCTATGAAAGTGAGCCCAAAGTCAAGAAGGTCTCAGAGGGTGTCCTCCACTCATGCAAGTCCCTGATCTCCCCGGCCTTCCAGAGCAGATGGCAACAACTTTAATGTCTAAAGTCCAGAAAAACATGCAGTGCTCCGGGAAACAATCAGCAGAAATTGTGAGCATCTTCAGCATCTTTGGCCATTCAAGAGCAGAATTTGTTATCTCAACCTAACTAGGGGCCCCAAGATCTTGAGGAAGGCAAAGACCAGGGTGACACCATCTGCAGCCATGGCATGAAACCTTTGCTCCCGGCTGGGAGACCTTGGCAACCGTTGCCACAAAGTCTTGCCTGGGAAATAACGTCATGAGACCTACGTTGCCGCTAGTGAGAGGGGAGTTGGAGCAGGAAAAGTGCAGCTTGTTTGTGGAGGGAGGAGGGGAGATTCACCTGGCTCAGCCAGAAACAACATGGCGGAGCAGCCAGCGCTTCCCTGATCTGGACTGCGCTAGCTGGTGCCTGGTCTTGCGTTTTGCAAGCAGTGAGCTCCCACCTCGCACTTGTGCCTGAGTGACACGGTATTGTGAAACCTTGCTGAAGAAGAAGGCGGATGCACTTGGATTGTCTAATCACTACTTTGCAGGCTCTAATCTATCCATTTAGCTGCAGTGTGTAAAGAGTACCTGGATGATTCACCACCTAAGTACTCACTCTTGTGGGGCCAGTTTGCTTCAGCTGCTGTAACATTTGTTTACATGTGCGCTAAGGTAGCTTTGAATAAATGTGAACCTCCCACAGATGCTAATTCATATCCTTTCTCCTTTGTGTTAAATATTTATGTTCTTCATCGACACGCCTAAGAAAAATATTGGCAAGAAAGCCTCAAGCTTAGCTCCATTACAACTCAATTTTTTCTTAGCACAATTTGCATCTCAAATGAACAGGATGAGAAAACACCCTACACTTGTAGAGCAAAACAACCCAGCATTCAACCATTAGCAGATTTATGGATTAGATCTATCACAAAGAACTTCCAATGACTTTTTTTCTTGCTGTCTGCGTACATAACCGCATTCCAAAGGAATTCAAGCTTTAAGCAAATCCCCATGGCAGCAAAACATAAAACAAACTGGGTTAGAACCAAACACTTTGCTTGTTGTGTGAAATCAAAACTGTTCTCTGCAGAGAACTAAACGAAAAGCATGTGTCCTCGGAGCAGCATATGCTGATGCGTAGAGTGGCCGGATTGTCAGAGATCTGAGAGATCTACTCATTCTAAACCGAAACACAGTACCAGACATGGTGTAAATCAGGATGGCCTCATTCTTTTCGGTAAAGAGATCCTGGCTTATACCAGGTGAGGTTTTTAAAAATTAAACTCAGTAATTCTTTTGGGTTTTTTGCAATCCCATAGAGTAAAAGTGGTCATAAAACAGTTCTGGCCTTTAGAAATAAAACTGAGATGGTTACAGTAAAGCTGCTTACCTTACTAGAAAGTGTGCAGTGTCCTCACAGGTCCCTCCTCTGCTAAACTCACAGCCTTCTCTCCTCTTTGGCGAGCTGGTTTCAAGGCACTTTTGTTTGCTGTTCTGCTACCTTGTCAGCTAGGGAACAGCAGCGTTCGGTAATTCAATCCTCTACTTAACTACAGACACTCCTACTCGGAGATCACACCCATTCCCAGGCTCACGGAGGGACAAAGAGGGAGCCAGTATGAGAGAGTTTCAACCAATTCACTCTCCACATCCAATATCCACCAGTTCTCAGTTCTTGCAGCCCTAACAGTTAAGGGTTGCTTTTATTAGAAACCTGTTTTATCCAGATTTAAAAGTGTAGGGCTTTTTTCCCCCTTTTTCTCCAGGTCTGTTGGACAAAGCGAGGTGGAGTGCTGTTCAGGACTACATGAAAAGCTGGGTCCAGGAGTCCTAGCCCCAACTGCTGACACTGAAGGGAGAAGACCTGGAAGCCAGCTGCTGAAATGCAGTTTGTCCGAGGCGAGACAACCTGCTCCCATGCTCCTTGCAACGCAGAAGTCAGCCTTGCCGTGCCCACAGACTGGAGCCCTCTGTGCAGCCCTGGGAAAGGTGGAGCAGGGGTGATGCTTGCCATGAAGATTATTGGCTGAAATGGGCACACGGCAGAGTAGTAGAGCGTGCAACTGGGCTGCCCTCCCAGGAGAAAAATAATGATAAACCAGAAAATCCCAGAAAGGCTGGCAATGTTTGCTACAGGCGCCTCCCACAGCAGAAGGCTCTCCTCTTTGCTGGGAAACACTACAGCTGACGGTTCAGAAATTGTGCTAGATAACTCACAAGGGGTCTATGTGTTGCTGTCTGCTATAAGCGATAAACACCCTTGCAAAGCCGAAAGTGACTAGAGGCCAAAATATCACACTGCAGCAGGATGGTCAGGGCACTCAGTGGAGGAGGGGTTTCTAATTCTGATTTTGTTCATTTCCTTCCCTCTGGCTCTGCCCGTTCAGGTGTCAGCATGCGTGGACAGAAATGTGATGCTTACTTCCTCTGTACTTGGAGGTATGTATGCAGTTACATGTTGTGATCTTCTTTAGGATGGGATCTTCATTAGGAAAAAGTCAAACAGTATCTGCAAGGGTGAAATGCAGCTACCCCCTCCAAAAGCTGTCCTGATGCCACTGACTGTGGGCTCAGTGAAGACAAATCATGTCCTCTCAGTCCCAACCATTCCTGCCTGACATCTGCATTGCCCTGTTCATGGCTGGTAGAGGAAAAATCCTTCACTGGAGAGGGGTTCAGATGCCACTTCCTACTCCGTTGTCACCAGGCAGCTCTTTCTTTGGGGACCAAGGCACAGCTACGGTGAGACAGAGCCTGCGGAGATAGGACTGTTGGTGTAGAGAGGGCGTTTGTCCTGCATGCAGGCCCCTCTTCTCAAGTTTCACGCTGTTGATCTCCTGCGTACTTTCAGGGAGATTACTCGGATTTAGATCTTCAGAGGAATTCAGAGACCAGCTTTCCACTGATTTCCCTGGGAAATGAGGCTTTGAACATCAATCCTTTCTGTCTCCAGTGCTCACCTAGCATACCAGCTCAGTCCCACCTTTTGGAGCAGAGGAAAATGGTCACCAGGCCATTTCACATGTAGGGATGAAGATCCTATATGGGGCAGCGATACGTGGGAAGGGCTTTAAATCATAGAATCATAGAACTGCTGAGTTTGGAAGGGACATCTGGAGATTGTCTAGTCCAACCCCACCCTGCTCAAAGCAGGGTCCGCTAAAGCGGTTTGTCAAGGACCACGACAAATCAGGTTTTGAATATCTTCAGTAACGGAGACTCCACAATCTCTCCAAAGTAGGAACTAAGTTCTTACTTTCCTATACATTAAGCTTTTCATGCCATATTCTTAATTTTTCGAGCAGCCCACAGCAACTGGAGGTAGGTGTGGGTCAGCTCTTTGGCTAAATCCCAGCTAGACATCAAACAAACACAGAACTGCCACAGATCTCAGGCCTTCTTGGGCCTAAGAAACCCGTAATGTGAGGAATTCTCAAAATATCTAGTGGCCAGTGTGCCACTATCCAACCTGCACCCTAATTTGTAGCTATCCATGAATGTCTTCATTCAGCCTGCGCATGCTTATATTTGAGAAACACATTTCAGAGTTCACATGGTTTCACAGCTGAAGATGCTGACCCTCAGTGAGCAACTTACTCCTTATTCCTAGCACAAAACAACTGGCAAAAACCTTAGCACCCTTCACCTCTCTAGCTGCCAGGACAGGATGGCTTTAGAATATAGCGGGATTCAGGGCCTGGGAATAACCTGTCCCAGGCCTTTAGAAATGAAGGTGTCACTGAGGAACACTAACCCTTGGTCATCTTGGGAGCTATCTGCAGGTCTTCACACTTTATCTGAGATGGAATCACAACTACTTAGTCTTTTCTGAGGACAACACAGCAAATTTCTGATGCATCTTGCATCAGAGGATAGCTCTGGATCTGCTCCCTTCTATCTTCCCTTAAACTGACTGAATTATTTGGCCTACATTTTCAAAACTAGCCCATGAAAAAGAACCCAAAAGCTTGGAAACTTGAGCCATGCCCAGATAGGGAATTCCTTTTGCCTTCAGCTATAGGAGGTGTTTGCCTGCTAGAGGTCCACGGTGTACAGCATGTCCCAAGGTGTTACAGAGCCAACGCTTCACCCTGAGATCTTACCCCTAGAGGCCTCTGACTCTCCACATGATATATCAGCCAGGAAAAAGCCATCGTAAGTGGGAGCCACACCGACATTCATGCTGCATGTTTTCCTCTATTATAGGGAACAGAGGAAAGATGGCACGTTATGTGCTTTCCTCCAACCTCGTGGAGACAGTGACCTGCAGCCAGGATTTGCTTTTATCTTCTGAGTCAACCCCAGCCCCACTGTAGGCCCAGCTGTGAGGGTCACATGCCAGCAGCTCTGATGAGAGGCATTAAAAATGGGAGATTAGCAGCATTTATCCTGTAATCCCACTGGAGCCAGTGGCAAGGAAATGTGGACACCTCAGAGGATCTGCACAAAATTGATGACGGCCAGGTCTACTGTGCTCCAGTTCCCCTTTTGCCACCTGACATCATTATCCCCAGCACAGAGAGTTTAATTAATAACTGCTGTCTTGCAGTCCTGTTCAATCCTGATTTACACTGGTGAAAGCAAATCAATTTCTGTAGCTACATCTACATGGATTTCAGCTCTGGCACAAAGGTCGCCGTTCCTATACCCATACCTTTGGCTGCAGTGAACATCAGGCTCGAGCTCAGGTGATATTTTTGCCATCTGTCCCCACTCTTCTTCACTTTCACAGTGAAAAAGTAGCAATTAATCCTGATGAGCTTTTAAGGAGACCAAATCTGTGGACATCTCTGTAAAGCAGTTAAGAACAATTAGTGCTAAAGGGAAAAAAAAGATCAGTTTTTCACTAAACAGAGGCTCATTAAGTGCCGAGCTGTAGGGACTTCCTGCTAATTCTGGTCATGCTCTGGGGTTACAGAGCAGAAAATATTATTTCCAAGCAGTTTAACTCAGGACTGGTGGAAAATAGTGTGACTGACTTTCATAATTGAGACATGATCAGAGATGTTCTTGTTCAGGTCTTCATTTCCAGATATTTTTTCTACATCTGTGACATGATGCATTCATATTCTTGGCTCAGTATTCCCACAGCTCAGAGACCTTGTAGTTATATGAATCTTTTTTTTCATGTATACAGATGGCAGATGAAAGCCGATTTCAGTGACCCAGTGCAACGCTAAGACATTGAAGACATTGTTGCAAGCAGATACTGGGATAAATCAGAAGTTACTGGAAGTAAGATTCTGCCAAAGTACAAAATAGAGAGGCCCCCATTTGTCTCACCCTTGGCCATCCCACATGCCTGTGGACAAGGTTAACATTGTGTGTGGGGAAACAGGCTCTGCCAAGGATGTGTTTGCAAAAATGACACGTTCCAAAGGTATTTCCACTCTGCTTTCTGGTACGCAGCTCCTGGGGGAAGAGAGAAGGGCCAAACCCTGCAGGGTGACATAACGTGGCAGGGGCCTCACTCTTGGGAAAAGCAAGGGAAGGAAGGAAAAAATCATCAAAAATGTACAAGCTGCTCAAGGGGTCCCGATGCAAAGACCTGCCACTGTTTGTGCAAGGTTAAATGCCCTGACTTGTACCCGCCAAAGGATTGCATCAATTTCTGAGAACCTTTCAGGAGAACTTTCGTGGATGCAAAACCAAATCATATGACTTTCTACTATATATTCCTCATTAACCCTCCGTAAGGCACTTCTCTACTCTACGAAATCATAATGGTCAAATGAAAAATCTACACAGAGCCTTTTACAGGCCTGTGAATAGATCTGTACATACAAACAAAGACTGGGGGTTTTTAGCTTGCTGAAATTCCTCCCCCATAAGTACATTTGGGCAGCAGGGGCATCTAACAGCGAGCAAGGCAGCGGCAACTAACAGTCACAAGGAGCTAAGCACCTGCCTCAGGATCTGGCCCACTTGCCTTCTGGGGCAATTTTGCTGAGAGAAGGCACTTCGTCGTGGGGAAAAGCGACCACGATTTTGCTCTCTGGCTTTGCCTTGGCCTGGGCCAACTGAGGTCAGGGCTTGGCATGGAAACTGTTTCATAGGGGAGCGCTCTGCGAGCACCAACTGACTGGGGAGCGCATAGCTGCCTCTAATGGACAATTGTGTTCTAGTTAATGTTTAACTGCAGAAAATGGAAATGCTTCCAGATAGAAGAAGGCCGAACGCCTAGGTGAGCAGCGCTCCTGCGCCACAGATCCTGTGGTGCAAAGCTGTGCTGCACAGGCCGAACCAGTCATCTTTACCTGCCCTGAGTCATTGCATCCCTCCTCCCGTCTGCTCAGGTCAATAGCCAATAGCTGTTAGCACACAGACACACCTCAGTTCTACAGAAGAGCCATTTCATCACAGCTTTTGGGTAACGATCACTGCTTTGCCTGGAGCTGTGCAGACAGTATATCTAGCTGAGCCGGGGACAGGCCAACACCTCTCTTCCCTATTCAGCAAAGAGGAATAGCCTTGGCAAGCCAAGGACTCAAGGGTAAATGCTGGTTTCAGGTTGGAATAGCTTTGATGAGAGCTCTAGAGCTCCAGTTTGCCTTCCTGGAGGCAACAGCTTGCAGCAGGTTGAGACAGGAGAAGTCTCCCTGGCAAAGGGGTTATAGCACTGGGGCAGAAGAAACAGGTACCTGCTGCTCCAGTTCATTTCTTAGCAGTCTTAGTGCAATCCCTATTTTAATCTGACTGTGCTGGGCTATGATTTGCGGGTACGAGGCTCATGTTTCCTCAGAAAAAAATCAAAGCCACACTTGTAGTCTCTGCCCACTCTCATTTCTAAGCATTTCATATAAAAAAAAACCCCCAGACTACCCCTTTTTTGGAGGGGGATATGCTGCATGCAAATTTCCAAGGTGTTTTCCAGCACTTGAGTGATTTCCTGTCCCGAGGAAAGTTCTTGCAGCTCTGGCTGAGGGCCCAGCTTCAAACCCTATGTAGTAGTTACCTAAGAAGATCCATTGCA